ATTTTGCGGGATCGGTGTTCAGTTTCTTTAGGACGCTTGCAGCTGCACTACTTGTGATACGTAGCTTTCTCTGAGATGTCCAAAGGGCAGAGTTTCAGTTTTTATTTATTTTTTCTACATCAGCATTTATTATTAACATTCAAATGCCTAAATATTTTGAATAGTTATGAAATTGCTTGTGCTTCCATGTTATTTTACGAGTGTTCATCAGTGTAGTTACAATGATCTGCTTGGCGATCAATGCCCATCATTTCCTACAAAGAATGACTGTCCACTAACCCTAGTAAGTCTCTACAACAAAAAATAAATAGTACCATATGAACAACCTACGATTCTGTACACCGACCGTGTTGGTAGGGGACTGCCCAGTTACTAACGAGAATAATTCTCCTACGTCTGTTCTCCATTGATCGTTTTGGAAAACAGCTTAACTCTGTACGTGCAAGTAGCGATTTGGACACACACAAACGAAACAAAATCGTGTTTTACAACAATTTCTACACAAAGTCTGAATTTCCAGCTTTGGCCAGTCTCTAGCCCTGAGTACAGTCCTCCTTCCGTTGATCATTCGGCCCCACATGTTAGCCAGTCTCTAACATCGTCTTTCCAAATATCCAAGAAAATAATCGTTGGAAATACGTATTAAATATTTGTAAGTGAGTTTGTAGTGGTGGCAATAGTACGAGTTCGCATGTAATTAATAAATATTATTATTATTTTTACGTAATTTGTTATGGGACGCCATGACTGTGAGTGGTATATGCCCCCCAGTAATGGCGACGGCGTATGAGGACGCACTTTCGAGAAGCGCTCGTCGGATTACTCTATAGGTTTTGACAAGCTGAGACTTAGACGGGTACGAGAATTTTTCATCGACAGCCCTTACTAAATGAAAAGCCCCTCCCCAATATTTCAAGCATATGAAACGCCAAAATCAACAAAGGTTTTTAAAACAAATTTCAAATACGATTTTCAATGTGGAAGTGTTAACAAACCATCAATTACAGAGATGAATGAATTACAAATCATGGTTCTGCCGAGTCCGACTCAAATGCTAGTTGCTAATTAATATTCATGAAACATTATTATACAGGATTTAAATAATGTTCCTGTTTCCCATCTTAGTAGTTGCGATTTTACTACTTTACTAATTACTCTATCTTTTATTTTAAATATTTTGGTGAAAAATTAATCTGTATTTAATAAAAATGAAGAATGGCTATACTTTTTCGAAATCACACTTAAAATACGTATCTTGAGACATTGACCATGTCGCCCGTTTGTTATGATAAAAGTAGAAACAATCATTTGATCTAGATTCTTCTTTCTGTAATGGAATGCTGATAAATCGCATTTATAGTGAGGAATATTTATTCCATAGATCGCTGACAACGTAGATTCGAGATTTTATGAATGAGAAAATACAAAGTATATTTCCAATCAATTACTCACTTGGATATTTGTGTGTATTAATCACTGATAAATAAATCTTATTCCTGAGTCTCAATTGATGTCTTAAAAACAACATATTTTAAATAAATCAGTTTGATTGTCCCAGCGCCCGTATTTTAATTTATGAAGCTAATTAAAGGGTTATGTTACAGTGTTATCCAATATTGCGACTGTCTTGTATACATGTGGTCTAAGATTGGAACTAAACAATTCTCTTGACCTGCCCTTTGTTCTATAATATTATTTCCTTTAGTTTGTTGAAATATGAATATGCATTGTCATAATTAATTTTGAATACAGACAAGTTTTACAATTGAAACAGCAGTGAGAATGCAGTTTAACAAAAGTCCTACCAAAATACATCTTTACAAGGGAATTGTTATTCATATTTTATGAAGGGGTTTTACTCACATCACATATTGTGAGCAGAAAATCTGTTTGGGGAGGGGAATATAATTCATACTGGGAGCAGAATAACTACACACATTAGGGACATTAAAGTAGCATATTTTTCTGTGGGGGGGTATAACTCAGGCACATACTGGGGGCAGTATATCTGCATGCAAGAGGGTATAATTTATGGCTCATATTGTTTTCTGGTAAGCTAGTTGATGCATTTTATGAAAATTTATTAAGCCTGAACAGGTATACAAACACGAGTAATTATTTTTTACCAAATGTATACTGTTAAGACAGCTGAATATTGAGTGATCTGTGAGGCATGTCTTATAAACACTACAAACATCTAAGTATGTATCTCTCTGAAATATTATTGATGTAATAAAATATAATAAATCCTCTAGAAAAGTGACTGTATTTCATTATAATTTTGATCAGACTGAAAAAAATTCACTCAATGTGCAACATATAATGATTATATTTATTGCCAAATAAACTTTGTTCCATGATAATTAAACATAATAAACCCGAAACAAAAAAACAATTGTCAAATAAAATCAAAACAGCTTTTAACACTTTAGACAAATCTCAATGCTTAACAGTTCCTCTATGAAGATACTCCTCCTTATGACAATACACCAATAACTGACATATACATGGTGTCATACTTGTATCATCACCTTTTACATATTAATGTTGCCCATTGTGCAAGTTTTAGAAAAATAAAAATTAACCAGTGTGTTTTTTTTTCAAGATGGAAGACACTTTATATTAGTTTTGATCTCAGGGTAATATACCCTTATGCTGTCTGCCATCTAAGTTAATTTCAGAACCATACAGTTTACCAAGATTCTATCACACAAAGCCAATATTGCATTCAAAATATTACATGCATTTTCTGTTTTCTGAATGCCATTTAAAGTTAATTCATTAAGCATAGTTCTATTTTCCATTATAGTGAATTTGAATCAATGCATAAATTAGCTTAATGTTAATTTAGCTAAAGTACCAATAATCTGACTGTAAGAATATACTCTATTTTAATTAGCGACATCTTAATTTAGTGAAATTGTGAATTAGCTAATTAGCTAAAATAACATGCTAGCTAAAAAGACATTTTACAGTATATATAGAGATATGCATTCTTGACATTTAACTCAGGATCCTTTGGTCTTTCTAATCATAGCTTCCATTACATCCCACTCTTCTTTCTTTACCTAAAGAAATGAAAATCATGTCATATTACAGCTTTCTGAGTGTTGATTACAAGATGTTGATCACCATAATGGTAATGGTATTGAACAGATTTTGTTCTGCTCCAGTGACATGTGACAACTGTGGCAGTGCTAATGACAAACAACAAAATAAAGGACAAACAAATGATTTCATAAAATTTGATAAAAAAGACACATCTAACTAATTAGTGCCAGCCATGTTTTAAGCTGTGAGCTTGAAACTCACCCTCATTATCATTATTCGCAGAAGAATTTCACCTGGGCCTTTCTAGATTGATACCTTGCACTCTGGCTGAGTTGCAAAGTGTGGTCAATTTACAAATTGTATTAAAAACACCACCACAAGAAAGTGTGGGTTTACAGATGAAAAAACCCACTGTTTCAGTCAGAGTCAAGTAAATTGCATGTTTCCATATGAATATGTACAAATGCAGTGGTTTACAATTTGCATAGAGACATAAACTTAAGAACTGAACAATGGGTCACTCACAGACATAAGTGCATTGAACTCTCCTCCTAGATAACACATCTCACCACCATCTATTGTAACAATTTCACCATTCACAAAATTAGAATAATCACTGACAAGATATGCTGCTACATTGGCCACTTCCTCTAATACACCAAGTCTTTTTACAGGCACTCTGTCCACAAACAATTTGCCAAACTTTCCAGTTGGGTCCAGTCTGGAAAATGCACCCTACAATTGAAGAAGAAATGAAGATGTATTACCATAATAAATATATTGTGCTGCACATATTCATGTATATGTGCTTGATTAAATAATTAAGTTAACACTGCCTGATCAATGACTGACAGAGTATTAAAAATGTTGGCATAACAGTTCATGTTATAATTATCAATTTTAAAATATTTACATGTAGTTTTGTTTATAGTAATAAAGTCTGAATATAAACATGTCAGAGATACAAATCCAAAAGCTAATGCTTGATTATGATGATTTTTTAACATTAAAATTATTGACATTCAGTCATCTTGTATCTGGTCGGTTATTTTGAATACATCTGTATATTTATGAAATGTATAACGAATATATACAATTTGAACACAATCAGTCAAAGCATGTCAGAGATATGGCACTAGAACTGCATTAATTAACACAATTGGCTGCCAGTCGGCCATTATAGGTCTGATCTGAAAAACAAAATGATGTGCATCAAGGTCCCATAATGTTCAATGTATGTATCAAGTTTGAACAAAATCCATCTGTAAACAGCTGAGATCCGGTTCCGGATTGCTAGAAATGCTTGATTTGATCATTTTTCTGCCATCTTGAAACAGATTGTGAAACAAATTGGTGTGCATATGTATAATATTATGTATTATGTATGTGTGCAGTTTCAATGTAATTGGTCAAGGGATGTCTAAGATATAGATCTAAACGCGTGGACACACACACTGATGCAAGGACGCACACACAGAGGTCAATCCATAAGTCCTTGTTTTCAGACTGTGTCCGAACGGGAAATAACAAGGCCACTGATCAACTTTCAGTGCTCTTTTTTCTCAAAAATAGTTTCCTTTTTTTTTTGATTAAATATTTAAGTCATAGATTTCCCACAAATAGTATCGTATTAATTCATTTTCAGAGCCAATGTGTGAAACTTCAGTGCTGCTGAACATAAAGAAATATATAGATGGGTAGGTAACCACTGAGCAAAGAAAAGTGTGACTATAATATACCTACATTGTAGGGAGTTAAAAAATCTATCCTTATTAATACCCTGTGTGTATATCCTAAGCACAAATTTGACGTCCCATATATAAATACATAGGGCATAGAATATGTCAGAATACCATAGCCTCACCTGACCTTTGATAGAATTTATTATCATGAGTCATTGTAATGATTTGAGGCTATGACGTTTAGTTTAGTTATTTGCATAATGATATTGATACATTGTCATGGAACATCTCGTGAGTATTTAGACTCAGTTCCACGCCTAGCAGTTGAGCAATAAACATCTTGGCTACAAGTGCTCCTCTCCAGGACGTTATTCTCCTCCCGGATTTGGTGACCAATACTTACTTGGTTCACTCTACCTTGAGAAGTCTGTTCTCAGTTTACAGTCATTCGGTGGTTCATATGACCATATTTTCACAAGCCAAGCGAGTTACACTGCATCACAAGTGAAAACAACTTTTATACAAAGATTAGGTGAGGCCATTCTGTTATTATTACATAATCTGTTCCCAAACATTACAAAGATTGCAAGGATAACCATTTCATCCAAGATGAGTGTGAGTGCGTGAGGGCAGTAACCTAATTAAAATTTGGTTTGCAAGAAAAATGCTGACTGGCAAACACAGCAAAATAAAATTCAAGAGTTTCTCATTATAAAAACAAACAAACATATTCTATGGACATTTATTGTGACACACGACTTCTCCATATTTTTAAAATAGAAAACAAAGAATAAATGCGGCAACAAAACCTTAACCATGACTCGTCATGATCCAGAGCACAGTCAGCTGGTAATCAAACAAATATATACTTGAATGCTTAACTCAAATCTATAAGAAAGTCTCATTCTTATATTTAAGTTGTATTTAATATGGCAACCCCCTCCCTATATAGTAAATATTGGTAAATTTTTAAAATTCTTGCATTTATTTGATTACACTTGTAAGTCAGCTGACTGTGATCAAGAGAGTATCATTGCTGTGGTGATTTTCAAAAATTTTTCTTCGCTTGTGATGTGGGTTTTTGATGCATTTGATGAGACTTTCATTTGATGTTCTAATTCATAAGAAAACAAATAAATATTAAATTTTAACAGAAACATATTACCCCTCCATTGTATACTTCCTAGACTGTCAAAGCACTTTGTTTTCAGAATTTGCTATGAAAATACTGAGAATTACTAAATGTGACTAATTTGCATACTTATTTCATTGCTTGTGGGTGTGTTATTATTCAACTTACACAACCATAATTTGGCATAACAGAGTCACTGTTAAGTTAATTAATACACAAAACTGAAATTAGTTACTTCGAATCAGAAAATGAAACTACTGTAGTTTTTAAAGTTTGACTGCGATCAATCTGAATGTATGTCAAAGAAACGACTCTAGGACGGCATTTGCATTTTGAATTTGATCTGAAAAAAACATCATGGTCCTGTTATGTATGTATGCATGCATGTTCAATGTATGTACCAAGATGAATATTAGCTGTCTTATATGTATAACCAAGATCTGGGATCGGAATGGCAGAAATCTTGATTTTGATGAATTTTAAGCATAAAATGGCTACTATTTGGCCATCTTGAATCAGATTGTCAAACAAATATATGACATTATGTGACACGATTTATCTATAAATTGTGAATGTGATTGGACGAGGCATGTCAAATTTATCTGGAACATGGGCATTTGCATACCTTCGTTTTGAATACGCCAGGTGCAATAACATTGAATCTCATCCCATATTTGGACCATTCCACCGCCAAAGACCTGTAAATAAAAAGGTTTATACTCACTCAGTAAATAAAAAGGTTTTATTGCTATTGAACAGGATTAACAGGATATAGTTCACAGGTTGATGTTGTTTTTTCATCTTGTTTTCGAGAAATGACGACATAAACAAAACACAATTTTGATTGATATTGTATCCAAATCAAGAGATAATCTTCAAGCTTTTAAACAAATTTCTACACAGTTTGACCAGAGATAGTCACTGGTAAATCACTAAAAAACAAAACAGTAAATATTGACATAAACATAATAGTTGAAATGATAGTTCACAGGTTGATGTTGTTTTTTCATCTTGTTTTCGAGAAATGACGACATAAACAAAACACAATTTTGATTGATATTGTATCCAAATCAAGAGATAATCTTCAAGCTTTTAAACAAATTTCTACACAGTTTGACCAGAGATAGTCACTGGTAAATCACTAAAAAACAAAACAGTAAATATTGACATAAACATAATAGTTGAAATGATAAAACACAAAACTCACTTTGATAATGCTTCTACACCAGATTTAGCTGCAGCACTAGGCACTACAAAAGCAGATCCATGGTTGCAATAGATTGTACTTATTGCAAGAAAATTAGCTCCTGACAAAGAAAACAACACTAACAAATACACATGTTGTAGCTGCTTAGGTTCATTTTGTGGTAAACTGTAAATAGTTAAACATATTGGAATGTTGTGAGAGTCTCTGCGACTCCTTTGTTTAATTAATTAGAGAAACACAATGAATATTTCACTGCTAAGCAATTTTCAGATTTTTGAGGATATCTCTCACCCTGTGCAATCTTTAGGAGGACAGGTAATATTTTTGAGTGAGTACTAGAGACAAAACATCACCTGGCACAATCTTTTAGTGCATTTTTGTTATCGCTATTTCAATCCATTACATCCTAAATACAATAGTCAAGACAGGAGTTTGATTTTGTTGGTAAATGAACATATAGAACAAATTTAAAATGAAACAAACACAAATAGTTTGTTTTAGGAGAAAAAGTTCACAGTAGTGTAATCCCGTCATGCTATTTCCCAAGCAAATAACTTAGAGGTAACCAATTTATTACATTATTTTATTTCAAAGTAACACATACATTTAACTACTGAATTGAACACATGTTATCAACTTTTTGGTTTTATTCTCCAAAAGCTAATAACATGCAAAATTTACATTTTTTTAATTCCCTAATAATTTGTGAAAACCTTGCATACCCGTGTTATAACTACAATAATTTCACTAGAAGTAACCAAATAAATTTTAGATATGGAGAACTTTCTACTGTACAAACCAATAGTAAATTGGCTCAAGAATCACCATTTTGGTTTAACAATAAATAAATTCAAAAATGGTACCTTAAAATGACAAGTTGTCTGGAGAGCAATTCAAAATTTTGTGTATTTAACTTGACACAGTGTGACGACTGTGGCCTTCTTAGTTCAGTATCTTGTCAGTCAGAAAATTATAAGAATAATTACTTTTAGTGATAGACATGCACTCTCACCACCATTATTTAGAAAACTGGGAATTTTGGATATATTCAAACAACACAAATTACATCTAGCCATATTTGTCCACGATGTTATTAATAACAGGTTGCCATACATATTCCAAGATTACTACCCCCCATTTGTCATTCACATAGTACCAGACAAAATCAAAGAAATTATGTTAAAATCCCCCAAATTAAACATAAAGCGGGGGAGTTCACCACTAAGTATGCAAGAGCAAAACTGTGGAATAGCAATCCAACTCATATCAGGAATATACCATTGGTAGGATTACTTTTACAAAGGAATACAAAAATTTCCTACAAGCTAGTTACACATAATTTCCAACTTAAAAATTATAAAAAATAATATTCTATTAAATTGCATTCCTTACACTTTCAAGTTTTTTTTTGACTGTCGCACTACTATTCTTATTTTCTATTTATGTTAAAAAGTGATCATAACGCCCAGTTAATAATTTGTAATCTGTGATTTACGGCACAGGGGCTGGACTCGATTAGTTGCTCATCGCAACTACATGTATTTTCGACCTCTATTCAATTTGTATATTTTTGTTTATATATATTTTGTATGTTGTTAAGACTTACTTTTTTTGCTTTTTTGGAATAAACATCCATTGATCATTAAGTTGTTGACTGTATCACCTCATACATAAACTATGTTAAAGTTATAAAGATTCATTCATCATTTGAACTGACCTTGCTTTGCTTCAATGAGTCTCTTGCCAATATCCAGTGTAACATATGCTGTACCATTGAGCACAATATCAACAATTGTTTTCCAGGCATTTGGTGAAAGTCTTTCAAATGGAGCAACAAAATTACCAGCTGCATTGTTAATAACTATATTGGGAAGACCAGCTTTCTCTACACATTCATCGACAGCGTCTTTCACTGAAGTATGGTCTCTAACATCACATTTGATGGCATGTACTTTTTTACCAGTCTCTTGGTTGATTTCCTTAGCTGTTTCTTGTAATACATCCAAGCTCCTTGTATGTACAAAATAGTAAAAACAAATATTACTACCATGCATTCAAATGCACACATGTTAAAAAATGTACGAGTAATATGAGGTTATTACAAGGATACCTCAAAGTATGCATGAAGACAGTACAGATTATACATCGCTTTCTTCCAAGGATACATCATCGGAATGCCAAAATCCAAAATGTTTAGAACCGAATCAGCGAACTTCTTAGTGTGAAGTCAGGTCAAACCCTTGTGGCAGCCATGTTTGTTTTTATTATAATTCATTCCATATTTCTTATAATGGTAGGATGAAAATACCCTGTAAAATACCGCAAATTTACGGCACGCTGTAACTTATGGCGTTATGGTGACAGATGTATAAAATGTATTAATGCACTTGTAATAGAGCAAATAATATTCATTAATGTAGTTACCTGCTAGTAATCACACACTCTGCACCCAAAGCAGACAACATCTTTGTCATTCCTTTTCCTAGACCAGTACCACCACCAGTAATGAAGGCTATCTTTCCATCAAATGTTCCAGCAGGAAGCATGGGATCTGTTCGTGCTTTGTAGAATTTAGAAACATCATTTCGCAGTACACAAGTTGTAGAGACACCTCTCACAATCTGACAATTACTCTGAAGAAAAGCAAGGGAGTAGAATTATTTGAAATCATACTGTCTATATACATTTTTTCATTTTGAGATTTGTATGGCCTTGACTTGAAGTCAGGATCTGATTCACTGACAGGATGAAATTCACTTTCAATTACATCATTCTGGTGCAAAGTGTGTACCAGGTAGTTATTATCACACAGACTTGCAAAACGTGCAGCGATATTTGCATGCCATTGCATATATGTTAAAATGCACATGTGCTAAGTGTTGAATTGTGGGTAGAGGTGTGCCACCATAAGTTGACAAGCTGTTTACGATAGTTTGTTTTAGGTTATGAAGAATTTGTTAGATAGCCAACTTGCGACCAGATATATTTTTTTTAATTGCTATTGATTAAATCAACATGTCTATCAAAATTATCACAATTTATAGTCCAGGCAGTATTCAAGTATGAATGAATCAGAATTATACAAATGCTTATAAATGTCTTACTTGTTTGAAAATTGTGCCTCACATTTACATCATACAAATGTAATTGACCACAGGTGCAATATCAGCATGTGATGGAAACAGAATCCTGTTACTAAACATTCAAACAGTGCGAAACATTCTTGTGACATTTAAGCTGTTTTGTAACCAAATCATTATTATCATGTACATGTATATGCCAAAAAAGGAATGTCAAATTCTACTCTATTCTATTCTGTAAACACCACAGTACCTCTTTCATCGCTGAGAGAGATTACACGAAACAGCTCGAACCCACGGATAGATCGATCTACAGCAAATGATCACTGGTATTCCAAAGTGAACTTGGTGAGCAGACGACAAAAGTGGAGCAGACGACATTACAGTTTACATTTAGATTTATCCAACGTCAAAAACGATATGTTTTGTTGTTGTTTCATGAATCTTTGGTCCTAGGTTTGAAGTATGTTTTGACATTTACGTAACGCAGAGATATAGACGAATTATAACTCATGCCGATGAAATGACTTAACTCTCAAAATTATCAGCGGGTTTCATTTGTGTTTTACTTACTTTAGTTGTCAATGTCAAGAAAGTTCGAGTCGACAGCGGAACAGCAGCACGGTACGCCATATTGTTTTGTTCTGCGCATGTGTGTGAGAATCAGCTGTTACTTCCAACCTTTCAACTTCAGACACGCGTTTTTCCATTTGTTGTCACGGGGTTTTGACGGAGCTCGTTGTCGGGAGTATTGGACTATTTTGCATGAATTGAACTACCGTGGATTTATTATTAATATGCTCCGAACTGTTCTTTCTAGGAAGCTGGTAAGTTTTTCCGCCACAGCGAGTTCCGAAAATGTTAAATAATTGCAATTTTGCTGAAATCCTTCATTCGTGCAGACATATCTGGGACACGGGCACCTTTTCAATAAATATCATAGTGTGAACCAATCTGAACACACTCACTAACTAATTGATAAATTCAATAACTGTTTCCCAGTTATGAGGGCCATACTTGCTACTTGTTTTTTGTTTGTATATTCAGTTTATAGTTTTTTGTTGGCGTTTCATTTTATTTTATTACATGTTTCTGTTACTAACTTCAATTTAGTCTGTTTTTGGTTGTCCTTTAAACTATTAGTCCTTGTAATTTGATTAATTTTTATCTGTAATTTTCTTTTGTAACTTTTAACCTTCTTCAGCAGGTTGTTATGAGTTAATAAAATACTATATAATCATGGCAATGTAAATAGAATAGATTATGGTATGTCACACACAGTAGGTGAATTTATTTAGTGCAAGCAGAGATACAGCGAATGAATTTTAACAGTGATCCTGGACTTATCACAATGGAAAATATTATAAGTATTATGAACTTAAATATTGCAAACGATTATGCCACATTAAGATAGGTAAAGATTTCATAATAAAGATTTCATAATAATTAAGTGACAGTAAGGTGTAGGTAGGATTGGATAAAACATTGTAGCCACATCTAATCAAATTGGAGATTAAGAACTTTACATTATACTATAAAAAAAAGTTGAGTAATGAGGAGTTAAAGCAAAGATGCTTCTTTTCTAGTGTCTTTGGTTAAAGTGGGGGGGGGGGGGTAACAAACAAATTAAGCCTGGAACTTACACCAGATTCATATCTAAGAAAAAGAAACCTGAGAATATCTAAACTCTTTAACAAATTTAAGTTAGCACAGCTTAAGCAAGATCATATACTCTAATCGAGCATACAAGAAAAGTTAAACTGTTTCATTCACCACCAGACTTTCTCGTCCAAACTTTTTTTTGCACTTTTTTCTTGTATTCTTAAATGTTTCAGGAAATGAACCACAATTTTGGAACCTTACTGAGTATTATGTATTGAATATGTGAAAAGATGTTTCACATGGCAGGGATACAATGTTGAATTATGTAGAAAAGTAACTAACATTATTAAGCAATTCTTCACTCATACAGTACAACCAAGAAAGTCATGTGTAATTCTCAACAATCGATAGAACTAATCTTCTGTAATTAGTTGTATCTTCATACATGTGTTTTGGTGCTCCTAATTGATTCATTCCTGTATGTATGAGCCCCTGATATCATTTAAAAGGATTGCAACAAAAAAGTAAAATTAGAGCATATTATATCATTATTTGACATACCGGTATTACAGATACCAAGGTAGTGTACATGATTACATACTGTAGAATACTTTATTTTCGCATGGAATTAATTTTCGCTATTTTTGCTGAAGGAATGATTCAGTGAAAAAAAATTCCAGCGAATGTACCTTTTTTCCTATATTCTACATTAAACTTGTCAAAAATCAGTGAATATAAATTCATACAAAGCATCAAAAATGTCTTTTCAGTGAAAATTAATTCCAGCTTAAATAAAGTATTTTACAGAAATACACTGTAACTTTGCGTGGTTAGACTAACATGAGCTGACTACCATGTACATTGTAGCCTTGTATTGAACTGTGATGTGTGGCTGCAGAACAGGGTCAGTTATTAGCCAAAGACTGAAAATGGAATGTGGCCGTCATTCTAATGTCAATCTGTGAACACTGTGATGGAAATCATCTTAAAGATAAACAACATCTTGTTATAATTCTGTATTAAACATGAAGGAAAGAAATTGTTTTTAGATGCTGAAAAAATCAATAATATTATTTATTCTATTCTAAATAAATTAGAATGTCTAATGTTGAAACTAATGCCCATGTTGGTTGATACAAAATTTATGTTTGAAATAAAATTGATAAAAATATTGCTGGGAATCTGCATGTCTTTTTTACATTACATTATCTTGATTTTATTTAAATTAATTTTTCCTGCATAATTTGTTGTTCTATTTCACTAGGTTTTTCTCAAGAGGCTATTTTCATCACAGACAGAAGGTGAAAAAAAAATCTCAGAAATTTTAAAGCAAAGATTTCCCACAGCAGAAGCAGTTCAAGTTACTGATGTTTCTGGTAAAAATTTTAATCTAATTGTCATAGTATAAGCACGGTTACTAGAAGAACGGTTCAGAAACTCTATTGTTAAATATGCTAATTATCCATTGACTTCACTGATCCGTGTCCAACAACTATGACGTTATTGCTAATATTGCTAGCGCCGTTCGTTTTCTATGCGAGTAAATTGAAGAAATAGAGCTCATTAAGCCGAAAGATCAATGTGTAAGTGTCACCAACTTCTGTGCAAATGTTGTGTGATACTCGGGGTTTTGTTGTTCTCGAAAAAATGAAAATATAGATTGTTTGTTTTGTTGACAGATTTGCCATCCGTGAATCGAAATAGTTATGTTATTCGTAAGACCAGACTTTTATTATCCCTTGTTTCGCGAATCCACCGAATGAACAGGAGCTGAAAATGAAATAAAAATAAAATTTTATTTCAGCGTGATTTGTAATGCAAAAAATTGCTAAAAAAAATTATTTTTATCTTCCATTTTTTTTTCCACCTGCACATAACAAACCCAAGTTGCATTTTCGAGTATCATGATCAAAGTACCGAAGTCTCACGCAGATGAGAATAACATTTTATTTCATTTCTTCTCTTCGATCAATGATCTCACTTATAATTCTTTGAGAATCACACAAATCTAATGGGGAAAAAAAGAATTAATTTTATTTTTTTTCCGCCCTCCTCAAAAAAATTGCCTTATAAAAAATCGAGAAACAAGGAATAAAAAAAGTCTGGCCTAACCCAACATTAAAACACCCAAACAATAACATAGTAACGAATACTAACATTTTAGAACAATTCCAGACAGAGTTTTTTTGGTACAAATGACATGGTCAAGTTTCAATTGTAACTTTATACAATAATGCTTTTTGTTGAGGTAGTGACGTTAGCCATTTTGTCTGTCTTTGTCGTAACAGTTCGGAAAAATCGGATTAAATTATATATTAGTACAACCAGAGGTACATTACTTGGGGTTTGCAACGCAAGTCTCATCTTGTAGACAGCGAGACGGATGATACTACCTTCTGACATGACATATGTGGTTTGTAATAAAACAATAAAACATGTATTACCACATTCATAGTGAAAAAATGTAATACATCGAAAATGTACAGAAAATATAGTTATTGTAATCCGTAATATCGTGGGCAGCTATTTTGATCCACCTGGACATCTCGGTATCCTAGTTACATGTACCTCGGGCATGCGCATTCGCAATTTTCTGAGTTAGAACGCTTATGTGAGAGCGAGATTGTAACGGGATCTTGGTATCATGTCACCGTAGTTGCAAACCCCAAGTAATGTACCTCTGGTATCTCATTGTTAAATTAATATTTATAGTTTACATTGTTATCATTTCTGTCGATTCAGTAGATTTGCGTCTGCTGATGTCCAACATGGCGACGAAGATTTGTACACCAAAAATTCATCTCTGAACATTTCATAAGTTTATTTTGTACATTGAATTATAATCTGCAAGTCTTTTATGAGAACTCTATGATAGTTTAAACAATGTTACTGGTAGTTTCATTTTATCTCAGTTTGCAGACATTTTACTCCCAGATAGCAATGTCAGCCATCTTTTTTTTCCTGACCGCTGCCAGTGGCAGTGTAAGTGACAGTTGTATGGTGTCATAGTGCAGTTTTAATCTGAATATATATATATTTTTATTTCAGTGTTCATATTCCTACTAAATCCTGACAATGCTGTATAATATTTGTTACAAAAAAAACATTACAGAAAACCCCAATCATCTTCGAACGAATATGTAATTATATGAAAATTATGATCAATGCAACGCCGGCTATATGCTAATTCCCTTTGTTTTAAATGTTTATAAACGAGAGAGTTTCCTAACCATTCTTCTTGTAACCGTGGTATAACTTGTGCACATCGGATGTTGCTTCCGTAATTGGTCACATTACAGAAATTTCAATCCTATATTTCCCCTCAATTACTCACATAACAGAGATTTTAAACGTATAGTTCCTCTAATTGTATAGCTCTTGCCAGTTATGTGGGCAGATGGATTCAGGACCAAATAGCACAATTCTGAGAAACATCATCCTCTATAGCCAAAATCTCAAATGATTTTGTTTTTATGGCTTATCGAAATGCAGAAACATTGAATAAAATCTGTTTTGTATCATTTTGTATTGACAAATCACTGTCTGAAAGCCCTCATGGATAACCAAAATGAATGGGGAAAACATGGTGTCAGCTGCATGGTGACGAAACGTAAACTTCTTGAATCCCCGGACATTAAAAACCACAAATTATAAAATGCAAACCTTTTCCAGCCAAACAAATATTTGGGTTAACTAAAAAATCTGCCAATAAAATTTGACCATATTTGGCATGGGAAAATCCCTTGTGCCTCATTTGGCACATAACCAAACTTCAGCAGCCAATCAGTGATGGTCTTACAGTTGAATGATTATTTAGTTATAGTTTTGTGTATCATATAAATAATTCCATTTAGCTTTTTTTTAATGCATAGTACAAAAATCATACCATAAAAGATTCCATAAAATTTTTGTTGCTGGATTCCAGACAAGAACATATTAGCTTGCTAACGCTGTAATGTTAGAGCAAGCATGTTTAGAATAAAAAAAATGTTATTGTAACTTAATTGATATTAATGATTTGATTGTAGGTGGTTGTGGTGCTATGTATGAAATACAAATAGTTTCTGACGTTTTTCATGGCAAACGAACGGTTATGCAGCACCGGATGGTCAATGAGGTAAGTTTTATTTAACTTTATGAGCAGATTGGCATAGCTTGACTTGAAAGCCACTGAACATTATTTGAAGTTGAAGTTGTCATATCAATTTCTGGTTTTCTCATGCTAAAAATATTAACAGTTGCCATTCAAACAAAGTTATATCTGTGTTTGGGACATACAATGTAATTGTTAATGCAGCCATCAATATTGGTTTCTATCATGTCATATTTAAAATAAAAAATTCTTTAAAATCCAACTGTTCAGAAAAATTTCTAATTTGGCTACATATGAAATACAATTAATAAAAATACATGTACAATAAAAGTTTCAATAATAATAATATTATATGCATGTATAATGAGATAACTGATTAGGTAATAAATTTTTTTTTTTTTAAATCCTGTTACAAGTTTTCAGGTATGATAATGCAACTACATATAATATTGTCTTGATTTAAGTATAAAATGAAATGGTGTTGAATAGCATGTTACATATGCTAGACCAGTTACTATGATATGCAATAATTCACACCTGTGAAACAATCACATGCTTCACAGATGATTGATGCTTCAGACTGTTGGATGTTATTAATTACTTTCTGTTTTAACACATGTATATAGACTGTCAATATAGTAACATACTATATTTATCGTAGAGTGATGCCATGTGCTAAAATTATCTGAAACCTAAACCAATGACGCCATACAGCCAATGATATAACCATGAACAAGTGATATCAGATGATAATATTTTTATCACATGACTAAACCAAAGTACAAAAAAGTCATAATTATACTAGCCATAAGAATCATATGCTAATTTATGCAAATTTATAAGATAAGTCATCTGATTACAATGATGAACGTGCATTTAAAGTTATAGCCGCCAACTGCTATCGTTTACCCTTCTATCAATATTTATTCGAAATAAACTAAGTACAGCTGCACAATTTGTATTTCTCTGTCAAATATTGTGACATTTACCGTACCATATCAACAGTGATATTTCACGGTAAACTCACAATTGTGAAGGATGTAGACCATTGTAATTTAAAAAATAACAGATAACATCATCCATTATGGAATTATTCGTGAGAAAATAACTTGATTTTGAAGTACATTTTGTACAATTATTTTCTCCATGAACTTGAGTAGTTTTGTACAATTATTTTCTCCATGAACCCATGAGTCATGTCATCCCCGTCCAGATCAATCATGAAGCTTGTCAAGTATTTGTAACCACAATCTATCTATGCTCAGGTACTCTCTGACTGATGTAAATACTGCCTCCATCGGTACATGTTGATTAGAGTTCAAAGGTCAAATAAAGGGATTTCCCCATCCCTTCCCCTGTTGAGTTTGATTTGTTCACAGGTTCCTTCTGTTGGTTGTCAATATTTTAAAAATAGAATTGGGTTAGAGTGTAGTTATTTAGATTAGAATTTCTAGGGAAAAATCAGGGAAAAAGTGCTTGCTAGGACTGTAATAGCATTATTATGTTTTTTTTTATGTATATGTTTAGAGGATGTATGTGCGTATAATCAGCAGAACATGGACACATAACCTTCCTCATTGAAGTGATAGGTAAAGGGCACATGTTTACATTTATGAAGGTATTTACCGGTATTCAGACTGGTAGTGATCTATTGATCAAGCCTCTGGTTTTTAATGGTATGTTTTTCAGAAGCCTCATGTCCGTCATGTATCTTTTCACATATGGGAGTACTACATTATACTATGGATGCTAGGTGGAGGGTCTGACCCTGGGGATAGAGGTCTACTACATTATACTATGAATGCTAGGTGGAGGGTCTGACCCTGGGGATAGAGGTCTACTACATTATACTGTGGATGCTAGGTGGAGGGTCTGACCCTGGGGATAGAGGTCTACTACATTATACCATGGATGCTAGGTGGAAGGTCTGACCCTGGGGATAGAGGTCTACTACATTATACCATGGATGCTAGGTGGAGGGTCTGACCCTGGGGATAGAGGTCTACTACATTATACTATGGATGCTAGGTGGAAGGTCCGACCCTGGGGATAGAGGTCTACTACATTATACTATGGATGCTAGGTGGTGGGTCTGATCCTGGGGATAAAGGTCTACTACATTATACTATGGATGCTAGGTGGAGGGTCTGACCCTGGGGATAGAGGTCTACTACATTATACTATGGATGCTAGTTGGAAGGTCTGACCCTGGGGATAAAGGTCTACTTCATTATACTTTATAGGGATGCAAGGTGGGGGGGGGGGGTCTGAAATTCTGATGAAT